ATATATCTATGCCCCTTGTAATAAAATATTAACATTTTGTGAATTCGTTTTAAAAGAAACGAAATTTAAATGATTACCGACGTTCATAATTAATACACAGTAAAATAAAAGAATTCTAAATAAATAAAACTGAAAACTCATATATATTCAGAGCATAAAAAAATCTATTTTATTTGAAATAATCGAGTCATTTTAGATAAAAGAAAATTTTGCATTCCGTTGAAAATTAATATTTCAATAAAAAACCATAGGAATAAGTTAATTCCTTTTGTAAACGCGAGATTTTTCGTTGTTTAAAAGGAATGTGTAATCAAGTACCACACAGATTGTACCAGAACAAGTACCACACAGAATCAAGTACCACACAATCTCTTTCATTAGAGTGTTATGTTATTTTAGAACAAATATGAATATCCTAAAATATTAACTTAACATTCCTAAAGACCAGGAAAATAAATTACAACTCCGCTGCTTTTATAAAAATATAAAGGTTTTTTTTCCATAAGAAATTTGATGCCAAAAGTATAAGTAAAATTTGTACAATTTCTTCGAAGTTTATTTATTATTTTTTTAACTATTAATATAAACGTATACTTCGTATTTTTTTCACTAAAAAGAATATATATATATATATATATATAATAAAATAAAAGTGAAGAATAACTAGAACCCACAGTACTAAAGAAGTAAGAAATTGGAATTCAGCAAACACAACAAATGTAGATACAAAGTCATAGAACTAAACTGGAGACCTATTAGGATTTCTAAAGCTGTCGATGAATTAGGCCAGTGAATTAGGGTTAGCAATGCTTTATGGATCCACCTTCTCCGTACAGCAGAAATTTTCGACATAATAGAAAAAAAACCCAAGTTGAAAAGTTAAGCCTAATACAGCACGTGGTTGTAGAACCTAATAAAATCGTAAAAAGAAAATGAGAAAAGAGAAAAATAATGAATCTATCAAGGAGAGGAATAATAAATTTTTTTAATAGAAAATATTAGGAAAAACTTATATATATATATTTCAATATTATTCATACTTATAAAACCTTATTTTTAATAGAAAACAAAAGAAAAAAATCTATAATTTCATAGTATTGAAGAATATGCAGTACAGAAATTAAAAATATACTATATGCATTTAAGTATGATAAATATTACATACACAAATGGTATTAAACAAAAGATCTTACAATTTATGGTAAGTGCAGTTTCTGCCATGAAAACAAAGACTTCATTTTATTTACATTTATCTTAGAATGTAATCACATATAGTAAAAGTAAATAGGTTTTTTTGAGAGATGAGAGGTAGAATCATTGCACTAAAATCAAATGAACAAACTATAGTATTCCTGAAGAAAGGCAAATACAAAATCAAGTCTAGACAACATTTTGAAAAGCTTCTAGTCACGTGAATTGAAATCTCGAATCGTTGAAGATAGAAAACAAAAGCACCGTACAAAAGAAGAATTCTCCCTTTAGATAAGAAAAAGGTTCCGTATTCGTCATCTAAGCTTATCCAGGTTTTATCTTGTTTCATGGTTTTCTTCTCTTCGAAGTAGCATTTAGATTTAAAGAAACACAGCTAAAAACAATGTTTGACCGTACAAAATCAATAGTGGTGTATAAATTCCTCAAGTAACCTCAATGTAGAAATTTAATTTTTAATGCTGGGTTGAAAGAACGGATTAGCTTATACGACAAAACTCCCTTTCCGGAATTGCAGGGAATGTTTTATGAGTACCATTTGTTTTATGCAATTTTATAACATTCAACAATATTTTAACGAAACAAAATAAATTTGGTATTATTTGCTGTGACAGCACTGGAATATTGTTTTTAAAGCTATTACTTAGAGGGAAAAAATCATTATTTAAACAAAATAAATATTTATTTAAATAAAATGAAATAATAAATGTTTTTTTAAATGCTCGGAAAAGAACAACATTAACAGAGTTTATCATTTTTTAACTGGAGTTTATATTAAATAATAAAAACATGAAAATTAATGCTTATTTTTCAAAAACTATTATGAGTTTATATTATAGCATCTAATTTCAGCATCTTGGTAAGTTTAATTTTGTTCTAAAGTTTTCTCAGCACCCGAACGACATATTTTTAACTCTTACGCGCAAGCAATGAAACTATCATTATAAAAATTGAATTATTTAAGCTGTAGCAAAGTAATGCCTTAATCTAAGCAAAAAGCCTTCTTTTAAGTTCATAAAATTGAATTGTTCTCTCTCTTTTACAACAACACGATGCCACATAATTTCCAGTAAAGCCTTAATGTTATTGCTCAAAATAGAAAGATTCCTTGTATGAAGAAAAGCAACAAAAACCCAATAGAAAAAAAGGAAAAGAAAATACAACACAGACGACCGTCAAAAAATATGAACTGGATTTTTTTTGCGTGCATCGATGCAAGAAGTGACAGTGTCAGAGACAGCTGACATCTCAATACACAAAGGCCGAATGCATATCACTTTCTTGTTGTTTGTTATATTCTTTCGGAGACTTGGGTTGCGTAGTAAACATTTTGACTACTTAGAAGCATTGTCAATGAGTTTTCTTGGATACACAATTTCTATCTATTGTGAAACTTGTATACATAGGATGTTAAGAAACTTATTGTTTGAAATGTTCCAAAACATCATATGTCGCCGGAAGGAAAATCTTTTCTTTTAAAAATAGAGAGAGAGAGAGAAAGGTACAATTAGTTTTTTTTGAAGTGGAATGTCTATGCAAAGAAATATTTAAAACAATCCCTTAATATTATAGTAATTAAGAAACACAGGCTATGGCATTCCAACACATTTTAAGAACTGCGAACGGAAGCACCATGACCATGTTTGAATATCGTATTTGGAACAAAAGATACATTCTCGTAAAACAATAGTACTCGTCATATAATTATAAGTGTACTGTTCGTAGAATATTAATAACACTATTTGTATTTTCACAAATTTTTTTTCAGAAGAATAATCGTCATTGTGAAACAATTCATCTTTCAACAAAAATAAGTACCTTAAAAAAGATTTTAGTTATTGTTGCAGCAATAGGTAAGCCAGAAAAAAGTCTTTAATTCTCGTTCTTTAAAAACTATATACCCCTCATGTACTTTCAAAGTGTAATGTAGATAAACAATCACATTAATCCGTAAGAAACTATAAAAATTTAAAATTTTAATTTTTCTTATACAAAATCCAATAAGATCTGATTAGTTTCGGATGTTAAAAATTTATTCTCGTTTTTTTAAATAGAAAGTTATAGTCCCAATTAGTTATTTTTCCAAAATTTAACATTCAATGTTCGAGAATTTTCAGGAGTCAGCCCTACCATTTGATAAATATGCAAAATTATCAGATCTTGTGGCCAACATCCTTTGTGTAACTGCTAAGGTCAACATTGATGATCGATCAGTCGGTCAACCGACATATTTCATTTAAAAATTAAGATAAGTATATTTGATACCAAATACTCCGGCCTTTTGACTAAATTTTTTATTTATGAACTAATTCAAAAGTAATTACATTTTTTAACAATGCTTAAGCTGAAGTCAAATCTAGGATTTGAATAAGAATAAATGATGAAAATTTTGTAAAAAAGGGATTAAATTTATAAATTAACATCCCCATTTCAAAGTTCACCAAATCACGTGCATTTCCTTCTTTCTTTAACGTTACATATTTCAAGCTCCCTTTACGATCTTGACACCAAAGGTTCTTGGAATGGGCATTCAAAGAATAAATTACTGAATCAAACGAACAGCTGCAGTTAAATTACTACCTCTATTTCCTCTCGATAATTGACTCAAAATCCTCTTTTTTTCTTCTCTTAATTCACCTTAAAGATTTTTGAGAAAACGATTCTCTTGTGAAGTACCACACTGTTCCGTGTATGTCTCCCTTTTGAATGATCCGATGGTAATTTCCTTAAAACGAGTGCCGTCGGTGCGGAGACTGGGAACGTTGTAATTTTCAAATACTTTCTTGAAAATTCATCGCACACTCAGCGTGGGTCTTGTGTGCTCCTCACCAAGTCTTCTGCCAGAGAGGATCACGCATGCTTCCAATTTCCGGGCTTCTAGAAATCTTTTTACTTCATGGTCTTCCACTTAAGTTCCTTGCCTCGTCACGGAAATTGGCGATTAGCCTAAACTCTTCCTCTTCGGAAGTAGAATCTTGTTAACCCAGCGACGTATCAAGATCGATAGGTGGGGGCCCTGCCCTTTCTTTGATTTCCATTAACAGGTAATAAATTCAATTTGCCTAACCCAAGGAACCTGTCCACCCACCTTGTTTATCACCAACTTTCTCCCGATAACATTAAAAGGTGAGAAAAGTTGATATGCTATTGAATAACATTATCTGTATGAAGAACAAACCCAAGAGACCGATGTATATTTTTTTAAGTATCCTTCAATTCAGAATTGTTTTTATGAACTGATACAAAATTCCATTACTGGTGTAATGATTTATTGAGGGTAAATAGCATTATTTTTTCCACGTGGAAAAACCTTAGATGGATTTCGTCATTATTTTTCACTCATCTTTTCGATTCCTGATTAAGTTAGAAGTTTAATTTTTTTCTATCTGGTAAACATTATAAAAAACCAGTGTATTTTTAAAATTTACTAAAAAAATCAATACGTATTTTAATATTTTTAAGAACTGATTATTTAAAGTTAAATTTAAACAAGTAATATATATATAAAATATATATATATATAAAGTCAATTTTCCTACTTAGGTGAACAAAGAGAGAAAAATTTCTTTTAATCACTTTTTATTAAGTAATTACTGTTAATATGTATATACATATGACAGAGAATCACAATATTATAAAAGGCAAAATAGAACTCAATTTTCCATTTTCCTTTATATATCTGGTGTTGGACTATTATTTTTGTTTGTTACTATTTATTATTTAGTTAAATTTAATTAATCAAATAAAATAGTATAGTAAAAAAGAACCAAATTTTTAAAAATTAGGATGGATTCTCCCAGTCGGAATTCGAATCCACGACCTTTGAATTAGAATTCTAACGTGCTACCCGTTGCACTACAGGGACACAACGAGCGATTATCCTTTTTATATATAGTGTTGAACTGTTATTTTTGTTTGCTATTAATTATTCATTAATCTTTGAATTAATATTTGAGAAAACTGTATTAACTTCAAGTGTCATTCACTACACGTTTTAAAAAAAGTGTATTTGAGCTTGAATGGTGGAAAAGAAAGTATTTTGTTAATGAATGAAAAATTGTGAACAAGAGATATTTGTATATATATATATATATATATATATATATATATATATATATATATATATATATATATATATATATATATATATATATATATATATATATATATATATATAAGAGAGAGTAGGAATTAAAAAAAACAACTTAAAAGTAATATCACTTTTGTCTCGTATGGGCTTAATGATCGGATGTGTTTTTCTTTTTTCGAATTTCTACAAAGCATAAAATTAATTGTTTATTTTCTTCCCTATTATTCAATCATACCAAATCCAACTATTGATTACATGCCAATGCCAAACAGTTTATTATAACTTCACTTTTTTACCTCGCTCGACAAATTAATGTTACTTGAAAAAAAGTGTTTTATTGGGCTTACTTAATACGAAATTAAAAATGTGAAAATATAAAGACAGAATTTTTTAAAAATAAAATCTACACTCTTTTGAAATTTTTATCGTATAAAGATCTTGAAAACTAAGGAAAAATTAAAACATGTATTCATGTATTAATAACATGTATTAATGAATAATAATAATTAATAATATTTTTTAAAGAAATAACTTATCTCTGTTAAATATATAAGGAATTGAACAATAAAAATAATTAAAGGAATTTATATAAAATGGGAAATAGAATATATTTTTTAAAATTTTATTGACGCAAGTGTGAGTTTGTATTAGAAAATAAAAGGAAGTTGATTATTCAGTCTGCATAACCTGTTATTGGAAAATGATTTTTCAGAAATTTAATTATTTCATAAAGAACTTGAATTAGAGAGAAATTTCTTAAATATATGAATAAAAAGAGAAAGCAGTATACACATTTTATTGTAGAAATAAAAGGTGAATTAATTTCTTCTAAAACAGCTTAAAAAGAGCTTATTTTATACTGCTTTATTTATCTCTTAAAAAATTATAATTCTTTGAAAACTGTGAAATCTATAGTAAGAATATATTAAAATTTGCGGTTATAAAAATACATTTCGAGTGGTAGAATATTTTTAAAAATCGTTAACTGATATAAAAATAATGAGGAGATTCAATGCAATGCAGATTCCAAGGAACATATTTTCAAGTTGAGTTGTAAGCTTGATAAGCTCTACTTTGTTTACTTTTTTCTTGGAAAAAAAAAGTGCAAATTATTCGTCTGCCATCAATATTTTTTTTTTACATTTCTACTAGAGGCGATAAAAAAATAACTATTCTTCACAGCAAATGCAGAATATCAACTTATGTAAATATAGAATTATACTCGAGGGTGGGGTAGAATCCGTAATTGGGTGAAGTTTAACTTGTGCTTACCAAGGAGCATGATAAAAATATATAAGAAGTGTAGAAATATATATTTAAAACATATGTTTGAGCATTATACCTGTATTTATTTTAAAGGGCACTGAAAATACATGCATGATTTAGTTTAGAAAATATTTAAAAATTTAATCCCAAATATTTCAATAAAAGAAGCTAGGATAGAAACAATGAGCATTTGGAAGAAAGTTCAATTTAAAAAAAAAATTCAAGAAAGTTAAAAATGGATCATAAGTTATATCATATAAAAAGTAAATCTTACTTTTTTTTATTTAAATAGTCTCTCTTTTCCATATTTTTATTTCTGAACATACAAGTGGAATATTTAATTTAATTTTTATTTCTTTTTTTAAAAATGTATTTGTCTCCAGTTTCCTTTAATTTTAGTCCAAATAATGAGAGAGCAATCTGTACTTTAAAACTGAAGAATATATGTTTTTTAAAAGTTTAAATACGAATTTTTCAAAAAATATTAACTTTTCTTATCCACCATGCTTCATTAATCCGTATAAGAATAATATTCACTTATATATATTTATCATATTATTTATTGTATTCAATAATATACAGGTATATATTTTAATAAAATGCATAATGAAAAATGTTTTTACAGACACAAGTTTATAATATGTAATAAAATTCATAATTTTAACACACGCCATATACCTCAATTAACACACGATCAAAGAAATTATTTTTGTTCTTCCTACATCAAAAATGCGAAATTTTTAATTGAAAACTTTTAGTTTAATGCAAGTATTACCATTTATAAGTATCTAAAGTCATCTTAGAGGTCAAAGTTGGCTTCATTGACCATTTTGAAGAAAAATTAACATTTGATTTGATTCAATTTTAATTTGCGTCGCACACTGAAGTGAACGAGGGCTATTGGCAAAGGAACTCATAATTTTAAGCTGTGGTCAAGTGACGAGAATGACATGTAAGATAGAACGTCTCCCCTATCTTCCCCATAGCTCAAAAAGAACTTTGATGAGAAAACTCAGTAAAAAAGTTCATATTAATACTGTTTGGGTTTAAACATTGAACAAAGGCAAGACCTAATTGCTTTGTTTTAAATATCAAATATGTTTTTTTCTCAATATTTAAGAACTTAATATTAAAAAATGGAACATCCGTATTATTATTTATTTATTTATTTTCTTTAATATTTTAGGTTAAGAGCATGGCATGCTTTAAAACTTTTATTTATCGATGTATAAATAAATTGATTTATGTTATAACTTAAATAACAGTTTAATTGATGAAGAAAATCTATGAATTTTTATTGTTAAAGTATTTAATTACATCCCGTCGCTTTGATCGTTGCAATTTGTTGAGTAGGCGGTTAATCAACGCTTCAAATTAACGAGATCTGTTGAGGTGTGTCGTTCGAAGAAAGTGATTAAAGAAGTTTGATGTTTATCGGCCCGGTGATTAAGAGATTTGGTGACGTTTAGATTGAAAAAGTTTGAGACATCAATTAAGAGCTTGCTGCCGACTATCACATGTGGTATAATAGTTGCTATCAAGAAACAAAAAGCAGAGAGTCAAAGGGGGAAAAAAGGGTGTAACATGTCTTTCTTTCAACTTCTTTTCTTTATTGGCTGCTTATTGATTGTGATGCAAAATGTATTGCTTACCTTAATAATTTATTATCTGAAAACTTTCAATCAAAAATAAAAATGTTAAAGTAATAATATGTTTATTCGGAATCAATATACAGTAGAACCTGTTTTTGTGCGGTCCTTTTTTATGCGATTTTACTTTTGTGCGACCACAAAATTTTTTTTTCTGTAGTATTTCGACGAATTGGCTTGTTATGTGTAAGAATTCATGACATTTTCAAATATTTTTTTGTGCGTTTATTTTTAAGCGGTTTTTATAAAGCGCACAAAAACAGGTTCAACTGTACTTGTGAATAGTTTACATATTTTTAGCTAATATGCTTCTCATATTTTTGTCTCGCAGATAGAAAATATTTGATTTTGCTACAAAACATAAACAAAATAATAAATAACATAATACGATTCTGTTAGAGAAAATAGTGTATTTTAAATTTCTAATGTTAATACTTGAAAAAAATTAAGTAAATATCAAATAAAATTTAAAATTTCCTTTTTACATTTTACTTTACAAGGAATATGTTTGATAGATACTGCTTAAAAAAGAGAGAAAAATAAAGAAAAGAAAATTGGTACTAGTAAATTATACCAGGGAAATTAAAATAAATTAAGCATATATTGACCATTCGATGCTATTATTGCTAAATGCAGGTCCCACTATTATTATTAACAGCACTGATAAAATCAGTAATAAGACTTGAGGCATTTATCGAAACAGTTTGATATTATTTTGATAAATGATTTTGGAAGTAAAAAAGTATTCTAGAAAGAAATAAGTAGGAAGAAAGGAATCGATATCGTAAGATAATTTTGTTTGACATAAGATTTCACATAAATATTTCACAGTAAATAATTAATATTTATCTGTAATAAATAAAACAAAAAAACATTGGCTTTCAAAGCATTGACAAACTTACAATCGGGAATTTAAAGTTAAATGTAAGATATATAAATGTGAATAGGTAGATAAAAATAAAACTAAAAAGAAAAATAATTTTGTGAAAAAATTGTGTCATGCTCATGTAAAAATTAACATAAAATTAAATGAAAATTTCAATATTAATATAATAATATCAATAATTTTGTATAGCCTCGATATATTTGCAAAAAACAGCCTCATATTGATTCCCCAATATAATTATACTGAAAAGTGCATCCAGATAAAAGTTATATCTTTCATTGTATGGTTTCATCTCTCTTACACATTTTTTTTTTCTAAAAGAAAATTTAACCGTAAACAGAACGCAATACAGTTTCAAGGTACAACGGCGGAACACACTCAATCCTTTCAAAAAAAAAAGTGAAGGTTGAAACTATCCAGAAAAAGAAAATGTTTCCAGAAGACGTTTGAAAAGACAATGAACAGCAGAAAGTGCAGTTTTTAGGAAGTGTGAAACTTTTATCTTGGACACAAGAGCGTGACATAAAGTTGTAGAGACACATTCTACCACTTTTTGCTTGAACATTTTAAACTTTTGCTTTTTGGGTGACGTGTTTCTGCTCACTGCACATACCATTCTTTTTTTACTATTTTTTATCCTCTCGATCTATTTTTTGGGTCGCCCAATCGAGCTTTCTATCTTCGAGTAGAAAAGGGAACGAAACAGTTCAAGCAAAACCATTTTCAAAACCTTTTTCGTCATTGTTCAGTTCTTTTACGAATGTAGATGTAATTTTTCTTTGCACCAGTCTTTTTCTTCATTGATAATATATTTTTGAATTGAAATTCTTATTCGAATTATTATTTCATGAAATAACAAGAATAGCCACAATATTTTGTTAAGATTTGGATGCATGAAAATGTATTAAAGAGAAATAGAAGGCAATGTTAAGAAGGGGGGGATTTTTGTATGTTGTTATATAAGTAACAAAAT